CCCCCCCCCGCGATATCCAGCCGTGTGACCGGGGCCATAATACACTGAATTCAAAGCCAGATCAAAGGGTTGTGTCCAACCAGCTTTCTCACTCAGCCTTGCCCAATTCCCCACCTTACTACAGTCCATCACACACAGCTTTTGTACATGCATGCCCCATGATCTCTGGAATAGGTCTTTAGGCAGCCAAAAGGGATGCTTCTTTTCTTTTTCATTAACAGAAGTCAGTTGGATCCAACCCAAAGCACTCCAGTGAAAACCTTTATGCATTCTCTTCTCTTAGTTACTAGACATTATAACAGTCCTGGCAATTGAGTCCTAAGTACAGTCTAAATCTTTAACTTCTTTGAAGAGGAACACATTGGTCTGTATTAGGTTTATATACATTAACCCATCATAGTTATTTCATCCTGAAGTGCAAATTCATCTTACATCCCTTTTGTACATGCCAGGGTGTCTTGTGATTTCTGCATTTTTTAAAAGCAGACTATCCTTATCACAATAATCAGTTTCTGCTCTTTAAAAAAGAAGAGAAACACTATTTACCTGGAAGGGCTTTCACGTGGACCATGCCAATGACCACTGATTTCAATCGTCCGAAAAGCTGTAAAAACTTCATGATCTACTGGGGAGGGGCAAGAGGGAGAGAAAAAATAATATTTCAGGTGAATAGAAACATGGGTATTTTTTTTTCCTGTTCTTCAGTTTGTTTTTAAACACTGTATCTATCAGGGTTTTTATCACCTATATATTTCAGAGCAGAGAAAACACAAAAATGCAATCTGCTTTTTGATACAAAATGTTAGTTTTCTTCATTGCTTTCCATGCTGTTTTCAGTCCAAGGACTGAGAAGTAAATTCTCCATTAATTTTACCTTCCATCCATCACAGAACTTCCAGTTCTAACTGGCACTGTCTCTTTCTCCCTTAGGCTGCTTTCACACAATTCTCCATGCAGCTCTCATCATCACTGCTGTGAATGCAGAGGAACATATGATGGTGACAGAGCATCCATCCACTTGGTAGTTTCCCCCGATGTTCCTTGCCTCACCGCCACCAGAATGGCTCCTGTGCTTGTAACTATTTATTGGCATAATCTGTTAGAACCTCTGAATCCCCAGCTTTTATTTAAGAAAAAAAGTAACTATCTAGCCCTTTCTATTGAAGGGACATAAAGTCTCTAGACCTTTCCCCTTATAGCTTCTTAATGAAAAGGGCAAGAGACCTTTTTAAAAAATGAAAGCGGGCAATTCAGAGAAACCAGCAGATCATGACAATAGATCTAGCAATTACTGTGGGGGTTTTAAAAAGCCCTGTGGTGGCACAAGGGGAAATAGCAAGCCTATGGGGGCTGAGACAAGGAAAATATTATCTATGTGGATGGGATTTCAAAAATGTTTACAGTGTTCAAAGGTGTTCCAATCTTTCCCAAAAGATTGTATCAAACCACATTTGGAAACGACTGCGGCAAAGACGTGGTTAGACAATTGGGGTAATGTCATGTGGATGTTCCCAAAAAACCCAGCTCCTGGTTGGCTGCCAAACCAGAATTAACAACCTTCATGTTAATATACACTTATACTACATTCTGTCCTAACTACTCTGCTCTCTGAATTTATATACCACCTGTTTTCATTCATTATCCAAAATCAAATCAGATTTATTCAGATATGCCATTTGTCCCTTAAATAATTTTTTTTCTAGAAATTATCTAAAAATGGCTACCATTTTAGCAGAAATCCCTGCCATAGGCAGCTATTTATTATTCTGTTACATCACACTTGCTTTTTTTATGAGCAAGTCACACTTGCCCATAAATACATATTTGTATTTGCTCATAAATAACATGCTTGTCATTTACAATCTAATCATAATGACTGAGGTGCGGTCAAACTAATTGGGGAGGGTAATAAAATTTGTTTAGAATTTTCTGCAGTGCCCTGATCTGCATATCCGTCAAACTTAATGAGGTCAGTATATACTTTGATGGTGTTAGGATCATTTTTATCCCACAATTGTACTGAATGGGAAAGTGAAGTAAGCATATGGGACAAAAATGACATTTATGATGCTCTTGTATTTTCTCCTTGGTGTCTTTGAAGGCTGTTCTGTTACTGTATTGCTGAAAGAAAGCAGTTAATTTCCAGTGTGACCCTAAGTAGGTCTACTTAAAATATTGCTTAAATTTACTCAATGAGGCTTGCTCCCAGGAAAACCTCCTTAGGATTGCACCATATTTGTGCTTTCCCCCCCTTTGCAGCTGATGTCATGGTCAGTTTCTGGTCAGAACCCCAAGAAGTGACTTACTATGGGATCTAACGGACTTCACATCAGATTAGTAGGTTTGGGAGGGGGGGGTTATTAGGCATCTAAAAGCAAGTCCAATGAGATATTTTTACATGAAAATGGGTTTGGAGTTACTGCCATATTCAAAGGACACAGAAGGGCAAACTGATGCACCTTAATATTTAATTTGTGAACATGTATGTCACTGAGGTGGCATGACAAGTCAGTGAGGAAATAGTAAAAGGGACACAGCAGGTCCTAAATCTTATACCTTCCCCCAATCAATCAGAAAAACCAACAGTATCCTAGTATGGACAATTATCTTCCCCCATGTCCCCAAGATTTTCACCCTCTCAAGGGACACCCTAACACTGCTCCCCCTCAAGGGACATCACGCCTGGAGAAAAGTGTCCTGTCCCTTTAACAGAGGCTGCATGTGCAAAATGGGCCTGAAGCTTGTCAGATCCTGGAGACAAATAACATCACCTGGTCAATACCATGCAATTAAACCTCTGTTAAAGGGACAGGGCATTTTTTCCTCCAAACCAGCTGGCAATCCTGGAAGCCCCCATTTGATTTCTGCCCTCCCCCAGTCCTAACATTCCCTCCCTCTAGGGGATGCACATTCCCCCATCAATGGTCTCTCTCAAATCTTCTCCTGCAGGTCCAAGACCACACTCAGGTGACCCTTTAATAGATGTATCATATGTTAAGGTTGCCAGCTTCAGGATGGGAAATTTCTCGAGATGGGGTGGGTGGGCCCTGGGGAGGGACCTCAGTAGGGTAGAATGCCACAGAGTCCACCCTCCAACAGCCATTTTCTCCAAGGGAACTGATCTCTGTAGTCTGGAGATGAGCTTTAATACCTGGAGATCTCCAGGCCCCACCTGTAGGATGGCAACCCTAGAATACAGGCCACAGAAGGTTTTCAGAGCACAGAGATAAACAACATCAAGGGGTCCATAAAGCCCAATTAAGCATCTGTGGGGCATTTTTTTGGGGGGGCGGGGGGGACACACACATCTAAACGGCATTCCAGAACCTCTTCAACAAAGTTCTTTTTTAAATGTTTTAAAAGTTCATGAGTTTTCAGTATACAGTAAAACAACTGGAGGGTTTCTGTAATTAGTTCTGTCTGGACATTTTTATCCGGGGCCTAGGGTTGCCTGCTTTGGGTTGGGAAATAACTGGAGATTTGGGGAGTGGAGCCAGGGAAGGGGAGGGTTCGGGGGAGGCCCTCAGCAGGGCACAATGCCATAAAGTCCACCCTCCAAAACAGCCATTTTCTCCAGGGGAACTAATCTCTATAGTCTGGAGATCAATTGTTAATGCAGGCAATGCCCCCTGTGGAGTCTTGTGAGCAAAAATTCTACTTTGTGAGCTCCTGGCATTAAAATTGTGAGTGAGCGATTTGGCCACTGCATAAATTACTTTGCTCTGGAGCCCTCCTTCCTGAGCTAAGACAGAAATGTGTGAGCCGGAGGCTAAAAAATCTGTGAGCTAGCTCACACCAACTCAGCTTAGAGGGAACACCGGATGCAGGAAATTTCCAGGCCCCACCAGGAGGCCAGCAACGCAATGTACAGGCCAGCTGGCAACCCTAGGGCCCACCATCCCATCTCCCCTTTCCCATTCCTTCTTCAAAGCGCTACACACACACACCCCGAGGGGGCAAATGGGGTGGGGGGCAATGCTCCCCCTAGCCTGCGGAGTCTTGTGAGCAAACTCTTTGCTTTGTGACCTCCTGGCATTAAAAGTTGTGAGCGAGCGATCTGGCTGCTGCATAAATTAGTTTGCTCTGGAGTCGTCCTTCCTTTGTTGTTGTTCAGTCGCACAGTCGGTCCGACTCTTCGTGACCCCATGGATCATCTCCCGCCAGGCCCTCCTGTCTTCCGCCGTCCTCTGAAGTTTGCTCAACTTCATGTTCGTTGCATCTATGACACTGTCTAACCATCTCATCCTTTGCCGTCCCCTTCTTCTTTGGCCTTCAATCTTTCCCAGCATCAGGGTCTTCTCCAGTGAGTGCTCCCTTCTCAAAGCCTAGCCCTCTTCTATATTGTGAGGCTATTAGAAACAGTATCCATTTTCTTTTTTTGCTCAGACAGCGGGGCGGCTCTAGCCCGCTTCTTCAGTCAATCCCACCCAATTCCCCTCTTTACGACTATCCTCATTCCGCAAAACTTGGTGAGATAGACAATATGGGTGATTTTAATGGTCATAAATGCCCTCCAAGGAATACTAGTCAGTTCGGTAGGAAAGGGCTTGGCCAAGAAATTTTTAGAAAATGTATTGAATTTGATTTCCATGATGACCAGAATCACAGTTGCCATCTATGGTTGCCATCAGGGTCTTCTCCAGTGAGGGCTCCCTTCCCATTTGGTGGCCAAAGTATTTGAGCTTCAGTTTCATTATCTGGCCTTCCAGGGAACAGTCAGGGTTGATTTCTTTTAGGATTGACTGATTTGATCTCCTTGCAGTCCAAGGCCCCAAAATCTTCCTCAGGGGGCCCCCCCCCTTTTCAGGACTGTGTGTTTGTGGGGGGGGGGTAAACGGCCGTTTCTTCCCGCTCGGCGCCGTGGCGTCCTCCAGGCCCCGCCCCCTCCTCTAGCCCCGCCCCCTCCCTCCGGAGCGGACCCCCCCCTCTCCTCTCCCCTCCCCTCCGCGCGGCCTGGGCCGGGTCGCCGCCGGCGCTCACCTGGGGGCGGAGGGGGGGTTTCGCCTGAGGGGATTCCGGGGGTGGCGATGGCGGCGGCCAGCTGGGGCGGCGAGGCGAGGCGGGGGCTGCCCCGCGGGAGACTTAAAGGGCCCGGCTGGTGGCGACGGCGGGCGCGCCAAAAAAAAGAGGGCCGGCCTGGCTGGGGCCTGGATCCGCCGCGCTGCGCTCTGCTCTGCTCTGAGGAGGCGCCCAGGCCAGACGGCGAGCCCGCCTCCCCGAGTCCCGCCCGCCAACGCCACAGACACACTCTCGCGCGCCGGGCCGCCTCGGGGAAGAAGGTCCTCCTCGCCAGAGGGTGAGGAGGGTTAAGGGTGGGGGGGTCTTCTCTCTATCTCTCCCCTTCCTCCCTTCCTCCCCAAGCAGACACACACCTGGCATTTCTTGGGTGATTCTTCCTCCCCCCCCCCTTCATAGGTATAGCGTGTGAGGGGGGGGGTGTTCTTATTTCCCAAAGGAGGGAGGGCAAAGATGTGCCCCCCCCCTTTTCCCTTGGTTTAGTCCTGGTGGTTTGCCAGGGCTTTTTTGGAGAGTTTGTGGGCTCTGCCCCGGTCAGTGTAGTTTAGGGGTTGGGGGAGGCGCAGTAGGGGGCTCTGCTTTGTGGATGGGTGGGTGGTTGGCCTTGGATTGCTCTTGGAGGAAGGGGGGTCAGGTTGGTTGGGGTGTGGGGGAAGGTGGAGTGGCTATCGTGGCGTATTGTGCATGGTGGGGAGACTGCAGCATATGGTCTGTGAAGTTCTTTTCTTTCCCAGTTTGGGGCCCAGTGGGTATGTTAAAACCCCCTCAATATGTGGGTTTGTGCTTATTCTTTTATATGCATATGAAATATTATATGTATGATATGCACGCATGTGCTGCCTCTTCCATGCACTTCTTTCTTGCATGAGGCTTATTTATTTAGGCCTGTAGTCTATGTGGATGTTTTCTTCTTTCTCCTTATGCATGTCAATATTTTCCTCTTTTCCTAGCCTTCTAAAGTCTCGGCTATTCTTAAATTTGGATCTTCTTCCTAGGAATGGATATTCTTCCTTCATAGTTGGCTTTCCCAGGTCTGGGAGCATTTGTCATTCATCCTTGCAACTTTTTTTCTCCCCCTTCCAGGGCCTGAGCCTGCCTTGTACTGATCTCTCCAGGCTACCATGCCTAGCAAGAGGTGAGTTTCCTATATCTTCCCTTATCAAGGCCTCTTGCAGGAGGAGCCTATAGGCCTCTGGGGCTCCTTTTGACAAATCTCAAAGGAACCTTTGGGGAGGCCATGCTTTCAAGTGTGCTTAATGTAGTTTGATGGCACTTAATCAGCCGGTTTGTTTGTGTAGTACAGCAATAGCCCAAGGGGTGCATGGGGTTGCCATGATGCCTACTGATACCTTTTATTTTAGAAAGTGAAAAGGTCCATGCAGGGTTTTTCCCTGCTCATGTAAAGCCAGGTTAGATGCCTGCAAAATGAGGACAAATACTGCCAGATGAGGATTTCTTAGCTAGCTCAATATGTGTACCTGCATTGTGTGTATGCAAGAAACTGTTTTTAAACAATATGTTCATTTAACAAGGCATACAGTCAAACAGAGCTTCTGCCTGAAATGTTAAAAGTTACAAGTTACTAGCAGGAGTTACGCACAACCTCACTTTCTGACATTTTGCAGTTGGCTCTGCCTTCTGCAGCAGCCATTTTAGGGCTGTGCCACCACCCTGTATCAATTCCAAACATGCCCACAGGTTGGGGATCCCTGGTGTAGTGCATTCTGGGCTGCTTCCTAGTCAAGGCGGTGTACTGCATTCTGGGCTGCTTCCTAGTCAAGGCAGCTCATAACATCTTTAAAACAAGTATGGGCCTTCCTCAGTAAGTTTACCAAGGAAGCCAGAAGACCTGTAGAGATTATATGCCTTCTGTAGGAAGGAGTTCCGCAGTTTAGGGGCTGCACCTCAAGGCGTTTCCAAAAATTTACAACTGTTGTGCTTCTGAAAGGCTGGGCTCCCTCAGGAAAGTCTATCTGGGAGATCTTAGGACATGTGCAAATTGATATAGGTAGAGCTGGTCCTATAGGTACTGTTGCAGGCCATTTGGGGCTTTGAAAATTTCACTGGTTTGAATTGGGTGTGGAGTGCAGTGCTATTAACACATTATGGGTTGTCTATCTTAACTGTAGCAGGCCCCTGTTAGTTTTCTGGCTGTTGGCACCAGTTACTGGCAATTTGCATGGAAACATGTTTCCTTCCAACTTCATGATTTTTTCTTAAGTGAAGAGCGAAGGCTGTAATTTGCATTGGGGGTTGACACTGGTTCGGAACAAATTAACATGGAGTATAAACACATAAATCTCTAGATCTGGCATGTGATGGTGGACCCTTGGCTTTTTATCTCTTTGACAGCGACCACAAGGACAAGAAAACTCCGACGGAGGATGAAGCGGGTGCTGATTTGGCCACCCGAACTCGCAAAAGAAAAGCTGATGTCGCAATTGTAAGTGCAAAGTTTTTGAGTCCTTGATAGCATAGAAACGGTTGAGGGAAGGATGTAAATTGAGCTGCTGCCTTTGTTTAATTTGTTGCAGGTTTTAGCCCTGTGTTGATTCTCTTTTCTTAATGTAGTTTTTACATGATCCAGATGAAGAAATTTCTACAGTGGAAATGTCCAAGAAGAAACAGAATGAAAGCCAGGTATTGTCTCTGGCATTTTATTAGTACCTAATAATTAATCATATTGTTTCTTTGAGTCCTGTCTCATGTGATGCAGTACTTAAATTTTTGTGCTGTTATCTAGGAGCCCATTGTTCAAAACATTGCCTCCATCTTGTACTTACCAGATGGTCTCAATCAATCTACGCTCTCTTTGCTAAATCAGGAGGTTCAGCTGAAATCCTGGCAACTACCACTGTTCCTTGAAATAACAGTGGCTTCTTGATCTTGTCAATAACCACAATAAGGTTCTGTAAAAATAGGAAACAAAAATATCTCACGTTTAAGACTCACTGTTCCTTTCTTGACCACGTGCAGATACATGGGGCTGTGTGAAACACCATGTTTTTTGTTTTAAAATGAGCCTTGTAGAGCCCTGGTAAACAAAGGTAAAGCGTGGCCGATGTTGCGAAGAATATATCTTCATGCAACAGTGCTTCAGACACTAGTTTAAACTGGAAAAGTAAGTGATCGAGTAATACATTTTTGTTTTTAATACAGGGGCTAATCCAAAATATACTAGGTCAGGGGAGGGGCTGTGGCTCAGTGGAAGAGCCTCTTCTTGGCATGCGGAAGGGCCCAGGTTCAATCCCTGGCATCTCCAGGTAAAAAGAGCAGGTAGTAGGTGATGTGAAAGACTTCTTCCTGAGACCTTGGAGAGCTGCTTTAGAGATCAAGGTTCTGATTCAGTATAAGCAGCTTCATGTGTGTTCCCAGTTCTGGCCCGGACTACTGTCATAGATGGACTCCCTTTATGGAGTCCACATGCTGTGTATTCCTTTTTCAGTTGTTAGTCACCCTGTAAACTTTTTACTTCATAAGCAACCACACCCCATGGAAAAGGCATTTCCTTCCTATTTGTCCTCTTACATGAAATGAATTTCTCAGTTGACAATGAGAGCTACCCAGCTTTTGCTCTGATATTTTTCTTCCTTCACCAGACTCGTGTTGTGGGCAGTGTTACCTCTAAGCTGAGTTAATGTGAGCTAGCTCACAGTTTTTTAGCCTCTAGCTCACAGATTTTTGTCTTAGCTCAGGAAGGATGACCCCAGAGCAAACTAATGTATGCAGTAGCCAAATCGCTTGCTCATAACTTTGATGCCTGTAGCTCACAAAGTAGGTTTTTTGCTCACAAGATTCCACAGCTTAGAATAATTCACTTTCCGTGCACCTCATACATTGCCTTTTTACATTTACAAATAAAATGCCTTGGGTGTTACCATACAAGAGGATAACGTGTGACTGGAAAAAATATGTATTTTGCAAGCATCAGTTGTATCCATACCCTAGGATGGTTGCCATTTGCTCATCAAGATACTACATGGCAACAGGTTTTAAAGTTACCATTATTTATTATTTCCTTCATAGTCTGCCCTTCTTACTGAAACTTAGGCTGTGGTCACACACACTAAATAATTCACTTTCCGTGCACTTTCCAACTGTATTTTTACTATGCAAACTGGCAAAATCCAGTTGGAAAGTGCATTGAAAGTGGATTATTCGGTGTGTGTGACGGCAGCCTTAAAGTGGATTACACAGTGTAAGACAATGCAGTCAAATGAGGCATACAGCGAACAACACAGCTGTGTGTGAGTGTAAAGGAAGGAGAAAAGGAGATAGATGGGCCTCAGAGTAGAACTGTGCCATGCTCACAGGCAATGCTCCCTCTAAGCTGTGGTGTCCTGTGAGCAAAAATTCTACTTTGTGAGTTACTGGCATTAAAGTTGTGAGCAGGTGATTTGGCTACTGCATAAATTAGTTTGCTCTGGAGCCATCCTTCCTGAGCTAAGACAAAAATCTGTGAGCTGGAGGCTAAAAAACAGTGAGGAGATAGACACTAACTCAGCTTAGAGGGAACACTGCTCACAGGTGTTATTTAGTCTCGAGTAGAACCACTATTGTCACATCCTTGGACAATTTTCTGGTACTCATCAGAATGCCATCCATAGTGTATAAGTGCAGACAGCAACATGGTTAGGTTCCCAATACCCACTTTTTAAAAAAAAGCTGTTCTGTAAAATGTATTAGCTCTATAGCTCATATTCAGAAATAAAGCCAATACCGAAGCATCTGCTGCTGTTCAGAGAAAGTAGCAATGCCATGATATATTACACAAGTTATTTTGTAGGTTAATTTTGCAAAAATTTTGATAGCTCAATAGAAGCTTTTAATCCATCGCATAATATCGTGTAAGCTACTTTCTAGTACAAATAGCTATTGGCCATTAATAAGAATGGAACAGTGAGCTAGCTCACACTAACTCAGCTTAGAGGGAACACTGCTCACAGGTGTTATTTAGTCTCGAGTAGAACCACTATTGTCACATCCTTGGACAATTTTCTGGTACTCATCAGAATGCCATCCATAGTGTATAAGTGCAGACAGCAACATGGTTAGGTTCCCAATACCCATTTTTTTTTAAAAACCTGTTCTGTAAAATGTATTAGCTCTATAGCTCATATTCAGAAATAAAGCCAATACTGAAGCATCTGCTGCTGTACAGAGAAAGTGGCAATGCCATGATATATTACACGAGTTATTTTGTAGGTTAATATTGCCAAAATTTTGATAGCTCAATAGAAGCTTTTAATCCATCGCATAATATCGTGTAAGCTACTTTCTAGTACAAATAGCTATTGGCCATTAATAAGAATGGGTCCCATTTTAGCAGCAGCATGCCTAGAAAAAGTAAGAGGTGTAAGAATAGTGCAAGCTACATTAGTGTGCAAAGAAGAGACCACAAACAACCCAAACTCGTCCACTGGAGAGGTTATGTGATGGCTGCGTTTCTCTATACACCGGGTAGATTGCTAAACCTCAGCTTCGTATACCGCGTTTATACTCTTCGTTAGTGGCTTCAGTGTAAATTAAGGCCGAAGCTTTTAATTGTGAGGCAGGTACCCTTTTTATGTGATGAAAAGGATGGTTATAGCGCCCAGCTGGTGGGAGCAGAGTGTTTCAGCAAGTGCCTCTCTGGCTCCCAAGACAGTTATGGTGCAGCTAAAGTTCTCTCCGTGTTTCCTGAACTAGCTCTGTTCGTGTCCAGGTTGTACAATGCAGCTTGTATATTAGAATAGACAAGCGGGAGACCTGCAAGGAATTGCAGGGAGAAATCTCATTTCCCCTCCCCTGCTATTTCCTCTTCCTTTCCCTGAAAGTTCCCCATTTCTGCTTCCTTCTGACCCAGCAGCCAACTTACCTTTATCGCCCCTCCCCCATGTCTGCAGCTTTTGGAGAGGTTATGTGATGGCTGCGTTTCTTTATACACCGGGTAGATCGCTAAACCTCAGCTTCGTATACCGCGTTCATACTCTTCGTTAGTGGCTTCAGTGTAACATAAGGCCGAAGCTTTTAATTGTGAGGACGGGACCCCTTTTAATGTGATGAAAAGGATGGTTATAGCGCCCAGCTGGTGGAAGCAGAGTGTTTCAGCAAGTGCCTCTCTGGCTCCCAAGACAGTTATGGTGCAGCTAAAGTTCTCTCCGTGTTTCCTGAACTAGCTCTGTTCGTGTCCAGGTTGTACAATGCAGCTTGTATATTAGAATAGACAAGCGGGAGACCTGCAAGGAATTGCAGGGAGAAATCTCATTTCCCCTCCCCTGCTATTTCCTCTTCCTTTCCCTGAAAGTTCCCCATTTCCGCTTCCTTCTGACACAGCAGCCAACTTACCTTTATCGCCCCTCCCCCATGTCTGCAGCTTCCCTCCCCCTCTGGAAAAAGTCTGGCCCACTTATGTAGTGCCAGCCTGGTCGCCAGACTGAGCCTGGTCTTGTGGTGGAGAACCTGCAAGGGATGGTGAAGAGCACCTTCCTTTGGTATCCAACTCCTCACATTATTTCTCTCCTCCTGGCAGCCCCCATATCCTCAACTTTCTCTGTTTCTTTCTCTCCTTGCCAGTTGATTTCATCCTTGGGTCAGTCCTTCCCACTCAGCCTGCCTTGAGTTGTCAGGAGCCAGCTCTGTGGGGGGATGAGCTCTGGACAAGCTGGCCCTCTTGTCTGCATGCTCTCTTGGGGAGGTTAAGGGGAAGGGTCCACCCAGGTATAGGAGCTGTTGCCGTGGTGCCCCCAGCAAGCTGGGTTTTGACAGCTGTCGGTTTTTCAGGGGGAGGCAGGGCAGAGCAATAAGCAACAACCCCATTCCCCACAAGTGCTGGATAATTAAAGCTTTTACTGTAATTATTTTCTAGAGACTACCATTCCATAATGCAGATACAGGTCAGACTTTAGTAGCAAAGTGATTCTCGTTGGCAGGATGCACTGGATAACATGTTTTTAGTTTTGCTTTTGTTTTAAGGAAGCCAGCATTCTTTCTCTTTTGGGGTGTATGTATGTTCGTTTACAGAGGAACTCTGAGGAATCAGACTATTTGTTTGGAAGTTCCATCTGTTTCCTCCCCGCCTGAAGTCTCAATCTCCTTTTTTCTTGGTTTCGGGCATCAAGGATATCGCCATTAGGTGGACCGATAAGCAGATGGGGGTTCTGAAACTGAGAGCTTGGAAACTGAGTGCTTGGGAGAGACAGTTGCTGTTTTAGAAACAGGAATCGCTGGTGGAGAAAGGCTTCCTGTTGTGCTTGTGACCATTTGCTTCTTCCTTCGATCACCATAGCCCTTCAGAAAGGAAGATGAAATGTAAACTGGTCATATAGCTAAGCATGGGTGTCCTTGATAGCCTTCCCCTTTCTTTTTCCTTCAGCAGCTATCGTCCAGGTCTGAAGCACACGCAAATCCCCATATGTTGATCCCCACACCAGACAAAGATGATGAGCTGGCAAGTCCAAACTTCTCCTCTTTCATGCATCAGAGTCTTCTTTCAGCTAGAACTTCGCCACTGCCTGCTTTGGGGTAACATTTTTCCCCCTTCATTTCATAGTCTAGTGTGGCGGTGGTCTCTGTTAAAGCTAGTCTTAACACATCTTCCTTCCTCCCCTTTAGCTGGGCAAATAGAGATGAAGTGTGGAAAAACATGATCAACAAAGAACAGACATATGTGAGGGACAAGCAATATATGCAAAGGCATCCTCTCTTGCAACCTAAAATGCGGGTAATTCTCCTTGACTGGTTAATGGAGGTGAGTTTCACTTTCTGCGTATGCTTTGAGCAAGTTATGTTGGCAGTAAACTGGCCCGGCAAGTAATCGAGGAGGGGGGGGGGACATCGCAAACAATTGAGGTTTCCCTTCCATGAATAGTTAAAACATCTACTGTCTGAGGATAGATTAGGGAGCTACTAATTACCTGCACTTTGTCCTCAGCCAGGTAGCGCAAACGTTTTGTAGGAACAATTGCTGAGATTTAGGGCAAGGTGAACAGAAAACTGGTCTTTTAATAGTGTAACTCAGGGAAGAATGGAGGTCGTTTTACCTCTCTTTTCCTGTGGCGTACAGGAGAGCTTTAAGAGGGTAAGAATTGTAGTTGTGGGATGTGTACCATGTGCTGTTTAGAATGCTGGGCTAGACAGGCCGCTCCTGACCCTCAACGGCCCTCAGTATTTCATGGGTCCTGGAGAGCAGTGAGCATCCTTAACCCTTAGACTTTTCGTCAAGACACCCAGAGTTTCTACTACACATGCAGAAACTGCTGTTTATCTTTGGGTTAGTTTTTATTGCCCTACCAGTAGACACTGGACCACCAAATTAAGGAATAGCCTCCCAAAGGGAATATGCAAGATCTGAGTCTATCTCACAGTTTTGGGGAGGAGGGGGCTTCTAAAACAGAATGCCGTAGAAGAGCCTTTGGCTTCTCAAGAATATTGTTCTGTGGGTGTCTTAAAAGACGGTGATAGAGTTCTTTATTTTTTGTGCTGGTTTCCCCCCTCCCCCGAGGAGTGATGGAGCTTGCTAGGGACAGTTGAATTCCCTAAAACAAAGGTTTAAGATACTCCAAATTCGAATAGCGCTGTGGTTAATCAGGACAAATACTTGCTCATTCACTGAGGAACTCTAAAGAGTGCCATTTTGTACAGCAAAGGATAAAAATATCCATTAGGATGGTGAAAGTGAGCTACCTTACCAACCAGATGAATACAGGTTATCATTTGTCTTCCGAGAAGGCAGTCCTGCAAAATGTAAACAATCATGGATTGATCCAAAGAGGCAGAATAACACTCGTCTGTCTGTCTGCAGGTTTGTGAGGTCTACAAACTCCACAGAGAGACATTTTACCTGGCACAAGACTTCTTTGATCGGTTCATGGCAACACAACACAATGTTGTAAAGACACTTCTGCAACTTATTGGGATTTCATCTTTATTTATAGCCGCAAAACTTGAGGTGACATTAGTGTTCAATTCAAGCTTATTTAAAAAGCTGAAAAATGAGGCTTAGAAGTAAATATCTTGTAATAGTAATAAATGTTTATTGCTTGTGGCCAAAGGCCATTACAAAATGAATATCTTGTATGTAGGCCCTGTTTCGTTCAAACATGATGGATAGGAGTTTGGAATTGAAGCAAATCCTTTCTACTTCATTCACCTGTTTTCTACATGTTGTCGTTGTTACTTCACAAAATGGCTCCCTTAACGGGCTTCTATAAATTTATAAAAGGACAAAATGAAACTAGGAGATTGTAAATGCATTTCCCAGGGAGGAGTTAATTCTCCCATAGACTTCGCTTTCTAGACTTCAGATAGTTCCCAAACTGCTATTTGCCCCATTTTGGGGAAACCTAGAGCTCTGGGGACCTGTTTTAATTGTGGGATATGAATGACTAGGATACAAGTGTGCGTGTGGGGGAGCTGCTGTTTACCAATTCGAAAATTCTCACAACATCTGGTTACAGATTGACCAATAGTTTGTCTAGTTTAACCCCAACATTACTGAAAATCATTACTTGCTGAGGCTGGAGCCTGGCTGTTGAAAACCAGAAACCACTTCTAGTTATGTGCCAAGGTAACCCAGGCTGGCAGTATGTTGATGCCTTTTTGAACGAGCCCTTTCTGGATGTTTCACATTTGGGTAGTTAAATCTTTTTTCCAGGCAAATTCATTATTTCCAGCTAAAGCTTTATTTAGATGATTTAAAAAAATTACCCTGCTTTTCTGAATAAGGCTTTCTTGAAGTTTTTTGGTGGGTGTGTGGTGGTGGTGGTGGTACACACACGTACACACACTTAGGAGTTGTCTGTCTGCTTGAAATCATGACAGGCGGTCTAGAAACATGTAGAAAGAACAATAGGTTGGATCCACTCAACCTTTACACAAGCACAGGAGGGCGAAAGAGCAACTATTGCACGATTCTCCACCTCACCTGTTCTGCATGGCTTTTTTGCCCACCTGGATCCAGCAATCCCTGGCATAGCCTTTAAGGGATCAGAAGGGGCCCTTCCTCTCCCTTGCACCAGTGGGGAGGATGGCACGGCCCAACCTAATATCAGTTCAGTTGCTGCAGTCGAAGAACCCAGCGCAAGATGCTGGACGTCTCAAGGATTGACCCCCTTCGCTCAATCAAAAAAAAAAAGACACCTGTTAGATCTCGCTCACTGGCTGGTGTTGGATGAATGTTAACACCTTTGTGTATAGGGAGGAATGATTTCTGTACATTGTGTGTTGAAACCAGAACCTTTAATTTTTTTTTATTAAAGTATCAATAGATACTAGAGTATTGAATGCATAGGGCTTAGTACATGCAGTATTCACTAAAGTAAGGCCTGCCCTCCTTGTATTGTCCTGGAATTTGCCCTCTCCATTACTTTTGCAAATCACCTAGAAACAGGTGTTGCTGCAGCCGCCTCTAGCACTGAGCTGACATCGAAGCTTTATAGTCCTGTGCAGGATGAGAAGAGAAGGGTCAGCTAAATCCTGTTCCAGCTGGATGAGACTGGAGAGGCTTAGTCAGCAGTATAAAGGTTGCTGCTACCATGAATGTAGGAGAAGCGAACAAATCCGGGTTTGGAAACTGCAAGAAGATGTGTTTTCACATGCGAACTTCAGCAGCAGCGTTCACTGTCGCTTGCCTTTTGGCAACGTTTGATGCAAGGGGGCATGATCCTTGATGACTGGTCTCTGTCTCCAAGGTGTGAAGCCGCTATCGTGTGATGCGTGCCCTGACTGACATGCAGGGAGGTTTCCCGGGCTTGGAGAGATCAGAATAGTCTTGTTACCGAAAATGTAGACCGTGATCGTTGTCGTCGTGTCTGAAGCCATCTGGCTTTGCCATTACCGTGATTTCTGAACACCACTGACAACACATTGATGTCTTCTTCGTATTTCAGGAAATCTATCCCCCAAAGCTGCATCAGTTTGCGTATGTTACAGATGGAGCGTGTACAGAAGACGAAATCCTAAGCATGGAACTCATTGTTATGAAGGTAGGCTTGGCTCTTCGCAAGGCTTTTTGGAAGTTCCAAAAAGGAAGGAACTGTATGAAAGGTGTTTCTCTGTTTTCTTTGTTCTTAAAAGTAGCAGCCACCCAGACCTTATGTACTCAGTTCCCACGTTGTTGAAAGCACGTAAGTTAGGTAGGCTTGCATGGCACTGACCACATTTTCCATTTATCTTCCATGGTCACTACTATCTAGACTTGGCAGTATCTCAGATGCCCCTGGGGTGATTTGGGAGATGTCAGGTCAGCCTGAGAGTACATTTCCGAGGGTGTCCTGGCATGCCTTTGCATCCAAAGCACTGGGGGGGGGGAGAGATTCTTTGCCCACCAACTGCACTGCCATAATGAGCAAGAAAAGGGGGTGACGTGAAGAAGAGGGGTGAGCTGTTCCACGCTTGGAAATAGGTTCTGGCTGTTTTCTTTTGTGCAAACAAGTCCGCTTTCCCAGGCTCTGCTCCTAACTGGGCTTAGGAGAGCAAGTGTGCTTCTTAAGACAGAAGAGCCAGTTCGGTGTAGTGATTAAGTGCGCGGACTCTAATCTGGGAGAACCGGATTTGATTCCCCACTCCTCCACTTGCAGCTGCTGGATGACCTTGGGCAAGCCATAGTTCTGTCAGAGCTGTTCCCTCAAGGACAGTTCTCTCAGAGCTCTCTCAGCCCCACCTACCTCACAGGGTGTCTGTTGTGGGGATGGGGAAGGAAAGGAGTTTGTAAGCTGCTCTGAGACTCCGAGTGAAGGGCGGGGTATAAATCCAATCTCCTCTTCTTCATTCATCGGAAGCATGACAGCAGGGTCTCCAGTGATAGTTCTTAGCACTCCGTAATTTAGAAGGGTACACTTACACACCTGTCGCCAATTTTGACATATCTAATTCAATCCAAACAGTGACGACCTTATAAACTTAGCTTGTTATTCCTGTTTGCATCTGTTAACACATTTCATTGTATTGTATGCTAATTTGCTGTTCAACCTCTGTCTTATATGTGTGGACTGGTAAGTTCCATTTCACTGTGTCTGAGGAAGTGTGCATGCACCTGAAAGCTCACACCTTGAATAAAACTTTGTTGGTCTTTAAAAAGTGCCCCTGGACTCAGACTTTGTTCAGCTGCTTCAGACCAACACGGCTACCCACCTGGATTTATCCATTCATAGCTAGGCTTTAGGATGGTCGGCTCCAACGCATATTTGTTTAGCACCATTGTAAAAGTTGCACGAGACGAGAGCTTGCTGCAACAGGCCATGTGGTGATTTTTGTTTGAAGGCTCACCATTCCGGTTATCAAACGTGTTGGCTATTCTCAGTCATGCTATGGGTTAGCAGAAAACAGCAGGGACCGCTGGCTTTAGGTCCTGAAGAATCCCATGGATGCTTTTATTCTGTAAGCCCTGAGAACTTTTTAATTCAGGGTTGGGGATGAAAGTATCTTTTAAATAACAGGAAGTGTTCTTTTTTTCCCCCTAGGGACTGAACTGGAATTTGAGTCCCCTGACAGTTGTATCCTGGCTCAACATATACATGCAAGTTGCCTACCTGAATGACATTTGTGAAGTGCTGCTCCCACGATATCCCCAACAAATATTTGTGCAAATAGCAGAGGTGAGAAGGTGTGGGTTCTCTTCTTCAGATGACAGGAAATGCTTAAGAATAGCTTCCTATCAACGTTTCCCCCTTCTTTTGTAGCTTTTGGATCTTTGTGTGCTAGATATTGGCTGTCTGGAATATACATACGGCGTTTTAGCCGCTTCTGCCTTGTATCACTTCTCTTCTTGTGAGCTGATGCAGAAAGTTTCGGGTAAGTTGCCATGATGATGATTATTATTTTATTTAACCTGTCAGCTCTAGTATGTTGGTGGAGTTGATTCATAAGTTTACAAACAAGGTTTCCTTTCTTAACTTCCTAGGTTATGAATTGTGTGACATAGAAGATTGTGTGAAGTGGATGGTTCCTTTTGCACTAGCCATCAGGGAGGTGGGGAGCTCTGCGCTCAAACATTTCAGGGGCATTCCTGAAGAAGATTCGCACAACATACAAACGCACATAAACACCTTTGGTTTGTTGGTAAGTCTCACGCTGTGCAGCCTGCCAGAGGCAAAGTGTTCTGGTTCTTGTAGAGCCTGAAAACATGTGCAAGCAAATCCATGATGTGTACATTTTTCTTGAAACACAAGATGAAAGCTGTTCTCGAACAGCAGGTACCTTCCCGAGCTGCTAGGAAAAGCTACCCATGAGCCACTGTGGGGGAGGGGCTGCGGCTCAGCGGTAAGGCCTCTGTTTGGCATGCAGAAGGTCCCCAGATTCCATCCCTGCACTTCCAGCTAGAAGGACCAGTTCACCAGTGATGTGAAAGGCCTCAGCCTGAAACCCCGGAGAGCCACGGCCAGTCTGATTAGACAGTACTGACTTTGACTGACCAACGGACTGATTCAGGGGCTGAGTTCAGACTGGCAGTTTGGCCCAATAGAGTCACGTTTCACAAACGGATTAAAGGGGCCGGTTCACACAGCCACAGCTGTCAGGCGTTCCTCAGCCTTACTCAACCCCCGTCCTATGATAATTCCCTACCGCGTTAAAAAAGTACCACATGAAAGCAGAACCCTGGAGGGCGCGTTGATCCCACTTCCCGGAAGTGTGCACGCTAAAAGCAGCAAACAAGCTGCATTGCTGCACCTATACGCCGTAGGGAAAAACAGCTGCTTACATCCGTGCCTCCGCCAGGGGTGGATCAACAGTGCGAACACTCCCTTGCGCCTCCTCCCCGGTATGCTCCTGCATCAGTAGGTGCAGTGTGACTGGGAATCCCTGGCATAACTTGGTCTGGGTCTTTTTGCCCCGCCTCCCTCGCACTTCATACTGCCAGTCTGTCCTCAGCCAGTATAAGGCAGCTTCATGGGTTCAGTGGTTAATGTCAAACCAGGTCAGGAAACACCGAGGTTCGAGATTGCACTCTGCCATGAAGTGACCTTCAGCTGTTCATTCTTACCTACCACATGAGTTCATTGTGAGGATAAAACAAAGGAGGGGAGAAACGAGTATATCACATTACACATTCTCAGAAAAGAGGAGAGAAGTACAATTCTGTTAGAGGAAGGGAGAGAAAAGATATAAATAGACAGGATAAACGGATGATTGATCTCTGATTTGGTCTGTGTTCCCTGAGCCACACTGGGATTGTCTAAACTCAGGCAGGGGTGTCGAACTCATTTGTTATGAGGGCCGGAGCTGACATAAATAAGACCTTGTTGGGCCGGGCCACATGTGTCATAAAAGGTAATGCCTATAAACTTTATAAAGGACACAGACAAACACAAGTAAAGATTTTTAAAACTTTAAATAACACATTTCCAGTCAGTTTGACACCCTTGGCTAAGCGTTTGGACTTAAATATCTGCTCTGCAGATATTGGGAAATACTTTTCTGCAGACTGTGGGGAGCTGTTGCCATTGCCAGTCAAAATATGCAATACAGTCGTGAACTAGGTGAACCAGTGGTCTGGCACGGTGAAAGGCAGCTTCATATGTTCAATATATAGAAGAGAGGGGAAAATGTATTTAGATGCGTATCCCTGAAATGTGTGCTGGGCTGTTCTCATAACACACAAGCACAAAAGAACAGGTTTAGGTTTGGAATCGTGTTTAAAGTGACATGTACCAAACAAATATACATGCCTAGATTGAACACTGTAAGGCATATACGTGTGTACATGTGTTTCTCCTTTGATGCAGTTCTTGTATATCTTGTGCGCTGGGATTTCTTAACAGGGTTTCTCCTGAAATGTGAGAAAACACATGTGAGAAAACCTTCTGTGCAGTTGAGTCTAGTGTGTCTGTGTTGTCAAATAATTCCCTCTTGGCAATTCTCTTCTAGGATAGAACTGAAGCAAAACGGGTCACGGTGGCTGAGAAAAACCAGACATCGCCTGTACCCACTGGTGTCCTCACCCCACCCCAGAGCAGTAAGAAACTGTCCTGTACATCTCAGCAATTGTGACCATGCAAGCTGTCCAGAGTTTTCGGCTGAAGTGCCTCTCTTTTTTATTGCCAATTCTTGGTTCTCCTCTACCAGGAGACACTGCCAATGACTGAAAAGCGTTAAGAATTCCTTTAAAAAGGGAGAACTTTTTAACATTTCTTTTTTTAATGATGGAAGAAAATTTGCATTATGAGAACTATTTTTATTGAACACTTTTTGAAAATGAACTGATCGAGTTCACCAGCCGCCACCCCCCCCAAAAAACAGGCATTTGCTTGAATTGCTGCTAAGGAAGGTGATACTTGATGTGCTGATGGATTGAGAAAGGGCTCTGCCCTCTGCTGCTTTTGGAGCTCTGAACACGAGATGCTTTAGCTTTGAACTAGCTGTGGAGAGCAAGCATCTCTTCAGACCTTTAGTTTACAGGTTGGTACTTCTTTTTAAAAAACCTTTGTGTAAATTATATGGTGTGTCTTGACTTTTAAATAAAATGCTGTCTGCTGGGTTTTATGCAAATGTTCCGTGTTCTGTGGTTCTAAAAAAGCTTTCAAGGGTAGAAGGAGCAACGTTTTTGCTTTCTTCAACAACAGCTGAGAGAAGAAGTACTTGTGGGGCAGCGTTTCCACGATTAACAGACAGCAATGGAGCCTGGTAGTGGGACATACTGGGCTCTCCTACGTAGTTACGCCCGGTCTAAACTCTCTGTCACTTTCCTCCTTCACGTTTTGGTCCCTTTCCAAAAACGATGCTTCTGTAGATTCTGGAATGCTCTGCACATTACCCTTCAGGGCTTTTTTTGTAGAAAAAGCCCAGCAGGAACGCATTAGCATAATAGACCACACCCAACAGCAGAAACCCGCTAGCATATTAGACCACGTCCCTGACAGCGCAGCATATTAGCATATTAGACCACACCCCCATGCCTTCCCTTGGCTTGCCCAGGCGCCCTGTGGCTGTGGGGAGCCCAGGCAAGCCCCCCCTTGAAGGGAAGGGAAGGCAGTTTAAACTGCCTTCCCTTGGCTTGCCTGGGCGCCCTGCAGCTGCGGGGAGCCCGGGCAAGCCGACCCTTGGCCAGGCCAGAGAAGACCACGTCCCTGACAGCGCAGCATATTAGCATATTAGACCACACCCCCATGCCTTCCCTTGGCTTGCCCAGGCGCCCTGTGGCTGTGGGGAGCCCAGGCAAGCCCCCCCTTGAAGGGAAGGGAAGGCAGTTTAAACTGCCTTCCCTTGGCTTGCCTGGGCGCCCTGCAGCTGCGGGGAGCCCGGGCAAGCCGACCCTTGGACAGGCCAGAGAAGGCACAGGGAGACATTTAAATGCCTCACCGATCCTTCCAGGGGGCCCCCTGGCCCACCCGCCCCGGAGTTGCTCTCCAGGCCTTCCCTCTGTAGCCAGGCACGCAGAGGCTTTGGCTGTAGTGGGCGTGGCCAACTCTGAAGCCAGCCGGAACTCGGTTCCTGTGCGTTCCTGCCCAAAAATAGCCCTGCCCTTGTCGCGGCTCTTCTCCACAAAGCAGAGTCTGTAAAAAGGGATTAGTTGAATCCTAAGAGCACCCAGGACAGAGGCGGCGGCGGCTGCATTTCTGCTTGACGTGTACCTCCGGCCACACCGTCTTCCAGTTGGTCTCTGTTGAGGGCGGGTAACTGCCTGCCTCAGGTGTGATTGGATTGCTCGCGTTCCTGCCGTAGCAGAATGACCTGCCCCACAGAGGAGTCTGCTAGCTGTGCCTCTTCCTGAGTTACTAGTCTGGGCCTAAATGGCTAGATCGGTGTGACAGGAGGAAAAATGAGCGCAGAAGGCCTGTACCAGGAGTTTGGAATTCTTACTTCTAACTATCTAAAAATGAACCACTTGAGGATAAGAATGAAGTGCCACCTATACATTTCGACTTTCAGAAGCTTGGGAGATGCGGCTCTGGTTCTGTTGCATTTGGGTTTATGTTAAAGATACCACTCCCAGCACTTTCCCCTGCAGTAATTGAATCCAAAAACGTATCATGAAGGAACTCTTCATAGGTTGCACACCAGTGTTCCCTCTAAGCTGAGTTAGTGTGAGCTAGCTCACAGTTTTTTAGCCTCCAGCTCACACATTTTTGTCTTAGCTCAGGAAGGATGGCTCCCGAGCAAACTAATTTATGCAGTCGCCAAATCGCTCGCTCGCAACTTTAATGCCAGTAGCTCACAAAGTAGAAGTGTTGCTCACAAGACCCCACAGCTTAGAGGGAGCATTGTTGCACACCAGATGTTTTGGTCTAGCTTTTTGTCAGGTACATGCGGAAATGAACTTTAAGAGTGAAATGTGTGTTCCTTCAGTAACCATTACGCACTTTAGGCTAACCTATAGATAGGTACTCCTGTTAAATATTGCAGACCGCCAGTAGTTAAAACAGGTGGGGCTTTCAAAATCCCGTGGTCCCATTTTGTACACTTCTGTTTGGGCAATGAAAATGAATAGACCAATTTGTGGTTCACCACCTTTGTCTTAATGTTAGCATAGAAACTACTTAAAAGGTGGTATTTGTTAATACTGTAGACTACATTCCCATGTGTGGAAAAAACAAAAAAATAATGGTGTTTTGGTTTATCCCAAATGTTATAAGAAGCTCCTCTGCCCTGTAAATAAATTAGAACACTTGTATGGTCTGTGGTTCAAGATGTTTGTAAGGTGGTGTCTTGTTTTAAACAAAACCTGATCAAATGTTGGTGCTGAGTATTGTAGCACCTAGCAAGCGGGGGTTTGGGCAGGTTGCTTAAAGACCTAGAATCAATATCTGACCTAACAGTCATCTGCATCCCAAACAGGCTTTGTTAGTATGCCACAGCAGTACATTTTGAGTGATCTTTTCTGGCTGGCTACATGCGTTTGAAAATGCAGTGGTCATATTCTTGCAACGATGATTTCATGTATTAAATAGCAATCAGCGTGTGTTTGCCACAAGTTCAGTGTGCATTTAAGAGCGGTGTCCAGTCCTAGTTCTGTTGCCAGTGTACTTGTACTTGTGAACATGAGTCCTGTTTACGCTGAACATGAGTCCTGTTTACGCTTTTTATTTCATTACATATACTCCAGTCTGTCTATGAAGGGCTCAAAATCCTGCAGACCGCTGTGTTTTCCAGAGTTAATTCCCCCCACCAGCAGTAGTGCCTTCTGCTAGCAGGAAACATATGTTCTTGGGCAACGTAACCTCAGACTTTTCTGACCATTGGGACCTTTCTCTTATCTCCAGACAAACTTCTTGGATAATGTCAATTTTGCCCGGGCGCTTCCTCTCCCTTGTATTGGGTGTCTCTCCCTGTATCTCTCTGAGTGCAGTCTGTGCTGTGTTGCTTTGTAGGCATGGCTTTTGTTACTCTTCTGGAGCAGCTGGGGTCTCTGAAATGTGTGGGAGAAGACTGGCATGGAACTAAGTATAACTGGCTGGGAATTTAAATCTTCGCTTGCTGCAAGGATAGTAGGAGTCAATCACGCTGGACATTTTTTTTGACCTCTAAAATAGAGAGGCAGCTACAGCTGCTCTGTACACGTTTTGCGGAATGAACATGCCCCAGTTGCATGTTAAGACAATAGAGACCCTTACAAATCCTGAGACATGAAGGTCCAAAACGTATATTTGGCTCCTGGGTTAAGTAGAAAGTAAAGGAGTTTAATCCTCTTTACTCAGTCAAGTTACGTTGCCTTTGGAGAAATTTCTGTAGGCACTTTTACATCTTGCCTCAAACACTTCCAAGGTTTTCTATAAAAAAAACAACAACCCTGCAAGCTAGGCATGCAGAAACTTTTCTGAGATCAGAATGTGACACAGAAATGCATAATTCAGTCTAGGAGAAGAGAGAGATTACTGTAGATTGGTGTTAGAAAGGGTGCCTGGATTTGTTACGCTGGTGGATTCCCTAGGGTTGTGTGTTTTGTTTCTAAAGAAAGCATTATGGCACTGAGCAACCCCCCCTGCTTGAGAACACCAGGCATGGGGAAGGGTTATGGCTCTTATGCCATTGTGGCGCCAGGAAGCCCCTGGGTAACCAGGGTTAGGAAATAGAGTACTCAGTTGGATGGGCTGCTGGGGCTATCGAGGCTCACGAGTTCTTTTACAGAAGGTAGATTGAGTGAAGCAGCCTGATAGCCCAGTCTAGTCCGATCTCGTCAGAGCTTGGAGGCTAAACAGGGTTGGCCACGGTTAGTACTTGGATGGGAAACCACCCAGGAAGGCTGGGGACCCTATGCAGAAAAAGGGACCAGCAAAACCACCTTTGCTCATCTCTTGTTTTGAAAAGCCCATGGTCTTGCGTTCTTCATCAGCCGCCTGCAGTTGTTATTAGATTATTTGAATTTGACTGAAAAGACCTGGGTTCGAATGTTTTTTTTCAACCCTAAAGCTCACTGGCTGACCCTGGTGCAGTTACACTATTACTCCAATCCAGTTTGCAGGTCTTCTTTTGAGAAGAGAAAAGGGATAGCCCCGTGCGCGTCCCACTGAGCTTCCTGGAGGAACAAAAGGAAACAAAAGTGATGACATTTTTTTGTGCGAAGGAAATAGTGTTGGATTTTGCAGGCATAATAATTTGGACCGGCTCCTTGATGCCACCTCTCTTCCAGCATAGTCCTGTGTTGTTCCGGCATAGTTTTACATTAGCTTAATCACTGCAGTGTTGTATCCAGTAAATAGATTTGGGGCAGGGGATTATTCAGAAATGTCATTTCTTTTGCTGTTCACAGGAGTGCCTTTCTTACGATGCTATGTTACCTGTCTTGGGAGTCTGATAAGGGGAAAAGGGGGACCCATTTCTGTCCGTAACCCACTGCGTGTGTTGTAAAATCCTGGGGCTCAGTCATCTGTGGGCAATGTCTGCTTATCCGTACAGCGCTTGCAACATGCGGCAGAATCTGTGCGTTTCTGGGGTGGCCGCGCGCTACAGGCGTGCCCTCGCCATGGCATCTCTCTGCACCAATGATTTCAGGGTTAATTAAGCAGGGCTGGTTCCTGTGGATTAATTTGCCTGGATGCTGCGTCCGAGCTAATATAATCCCAACTAAACCATTCTTAACCTTAAAAGTAGCCACACGAGAAATTCAAAAAGCTGATCAGCTCTCAATCCGCTCAGTTCAAAGTTTTTGCAGAACTCTGGCCGTAAGCTAAATGTAGCATAAATTTTAAAAGAGGCTTCTTTCTGAGCAAGTGATACCAGCGGGCAAGTAATAAAACACAGAATGTGTGTCTGCTCGTTTCAGGTCGTGGGTGGGTGAGGCAAGAACGCCTCAATTTTACACTTTTTCATACCCATCTCAAGAGTGTGCGGCAACCTTCAGCTGGGCGTTCAGTTTCTTGATACCTTTGTTGAGAAGCAGTTAAGACGGCCCTTGTATTTCCCTCCTGTGAACTAGGGGATCCTATGCTGCGTTGATCTTCCAGTACTTCTATTTGTTACTATTTGTATTTGTAACCGCTCTAAGACTCCAATTTTAGGGCCGGGTATGAATCCGACTCTTCTTCTTTGTATACC